AGAGGTCCTCCTCCCCTTCCATCTGACCCTAGCTTATCAGGACTCATCAGGACTGGCTGCATTGTCCTACTCTGTGGCCTGGTAAGGCTGCTCCCTCATCAGGGGAAGGTGGTCAAAGAGCCAGCCACTGAGTTCATGTCAGAGACAGTCCTTGTGGCAGCTGAGAATTCTTGTTATTTTGCTGTCATTTATACTACCACATTTCTTGCCTATGCTTTACCAGTGTAATGTACTGGTATATACTCATTTTATATTTTCTCTTTTCAAAAGTTCTGCATACAGGTATTATATTATATTCATTTTTACAAGGGAAACGGGCTCAAAGTAGTTAAAGACCTTGGCTGAAGTAATATAGCTAGTAGGTGGCAAAGCCAGGATTTGATTTCAGGTCTTTCTAGCTTTGAAGCTTGTTTGCTTTTTAACCATTTAAGTACTATAAATTTCCTTCTTCTTTTTGACAACAGGATTCAGCAGTTAGGTAGCTATCATGGACAGTAAGGCCTGGTAATGGTGTATGACTCTGTCAAGACCTACTGCTCACTCAAGGCTGGCTGACCGCAGAGGCCAACCCTAACACTATCATGCTTGGCTTAAGGAGAAAAAGTACCCTGGTGTTTATGGGTGTGTTAATTCCACTCACAGGGGAAATTGGGGATACTTGGAAAGGTTCCTGGCAGTTTGTATTTTTATTTTATAATTTTATTCTCCATTGGCTCCCAGTAGGGTCACAGTCTTCCTAGCTTTTATGCATAAGACATTCCTGATTAAGTTGGAATTGGTTTCTAAATCTGACAGTATGAACAGGATTCTTGGGGCACAGAGTAGAGCTTTCCTCTTTGTGTTAATTTGAAAAGTCTCTGTGGACTGAGTACATTGTTCCCACCACATGGTAGAGCTTGTAGATTCTATGAGTTAATGCTTGTAGATTACAGGGTCCTTTGTACAGCAGCCTTCACAGCCCAAAGACAACTTCCTGTGTGCAACAGAACTAGGGTATATAATCCAGACTCACAAGAGTTCCAACTTAAACTTTCAGCACAGACAAACCCTTGGCATGGCCAGAAGGTAGCTGGGAAATCAGCTGGCATGTATTGAAATTTTCAAGTTAAATGAGCAACAGCCATGTGGACAATAATTTCCACATTCTTGCTATGTATTCTCAGCCTTGAACTCATTATGTAGCCGAGCCTGGCTTGAACTTATAGCAATCCTCCTGCTTTAACCTCCTGAGTATACAGATTAGTCCTATACCACCAGGCCAACCCTGACTTCTTATTGAGTGTTTGTGTCCATGTGGTTTCATTTACAAAGGTGCCCTTGAATTTAGGAAAGCTCTTATAATAATAATGTGTTGGTCCTGTGCCTAGTACTTTATATTTTGCCGTGTGCTCTTGTGTACACTATACTGTATTTATCCCCCAAACGGCCTGATAGAATTCTTTAGGTGCTTGTGCCTGGCTCATAATCAGACACAAGGAACTGGCCTTTGGGGTTATAGTGCCTATCCATCGTGAAAGTTCCCTTGTAGAACCAATTCTGTTCTGCTCACATAACTTTTTGAGAAAATAATGAATGAGCAAAGGTTCTCCTTTGTTCCCATGTCACTTCCTGCTGTGTTTGCAGGCGGTTTCTCATACATCTGTCCATATGTGTCTTACTCAAAACTTAGTCTGTGTCTAAATTAGCTACAGTTCTTAGAAAGAGTAGATGTTTTCCTTGGCACTAACATTTGAAGTTAAAATGCACACCTGCTGTCTTCTCTCACTGCACTGTAGTTGATAGTGGATGTATCTTCCTTCATTAGGAGGAAAGATTACATTTTGATGCCAGAAGCAAAGAGTCATGGTAGGCTACTAGGACCTGCCCTGTCCCTAACTTTGGATTCATTTCTAGATATTCTCAGCAAAGGGTTGCTGAAGGGACTGCATTCTGGGCCAGAGGCAGAAGAGTGCTAAGAGACACCATTACTTGTTAGAAATCCATTCTCATGGGATTAGGACAGTGTCTCTATATGAAGTCTGGCCAGAGAGGATGAACTCACTGAATGGCTGCTGCAACCACGGGGCCTTACTTCTGGTCCCTTGTTGTCTCACCTAGACACGGGACAGGATAAGAGAGCATGCTTGTGAAATGGTCATGCTTTGTTGACCTGTAGCTTCGGGAGGAGTCATGTGAGATGCCCAGCTCAGAGCTCAGCATGCATGAGTGCATGTATCTACAAGCCATTTTAAACTGTCAGTGATCGTGCTCATTGAGATGCCACCTCAGGGCAGCCAAGGCTCAGCGTGGCTGGCAGGACAAAGTCAAGGGAAAGAAAGCTTCTTAGAGGCTGCAGCTCTTAGGATCAACGGTAACCACAGCCCCTCCATTTTTGTCACTTTATAAAGGCTTGCTTCAAGAGATTGCAGAAGTGAGTAGCATCAATCAGTTTACTACTAGGGCTTCTGGCTGTCCTGCAGATGAAGGTTTTTTTCTCCTTTTCCTAACCCTTGTGCAGGTAATCTCAGCTCTCTGCAGTTACCCAGTCTATCTTGTTTCAAGTTTGAGTCTACTAGAGAAAAATGCATAATGCTGCCTTTCTTTCAATAGCTGTGTTTGGGACTGAGACTGACTTCACTAGCTGGCTGGCATCCTCAGAGCCAAGGACCTGCCAAACCAGGGAAAGCAGCTGTTTCAGCTGAAACTTGCATAGTTCTTGTGACTTAGCTCTCTGCATATCAGCTTTTGGGGATTGCTTTAAAATATACACAGAGAGGGCCACAACCCAGAGCCATAAGGGAAGGGGGTGCGGATGACCACTGCCATCCTCCTGTGACTCTGACTGTTGGAAGGAGGATGTGGAGAGGCTAGTGTCGCAGTGTGAGGGACTACAACAAGAGCATCAGTCAACATTAGTATCCCAGTAAAGTTGAGGCGGTTATGTAACCCATATGAATCCTCTTTGAAGATGTTTTGTATTGAAGGGAGAAGGCAGCAGTGTAAAGTTATATGAGATAAGTAGGATATTAAAACTATGTGAAGACTATAATGCCAGCTGTGGAAAAGTGTATTTAGTATTAAATGAGACCTCATACAAAGCACTCAGCTCTATGCCTGGTGTGGCAAACACTTAGTATATCACAGCTACTGGATTGCAAATCCTCTAACCACAGGGAACACATTGTCTCATTCACTGTTACACGTAGGGTGCCTCTCTAAAGTGGATGTTCAAAAGAGTTTTGCTGATTGTTTGAATGTGGGCTATTATCATAAGCATTTACAAAAGAATCCAGGAAAGGGGGAGCCTGTGTTGTCTTCTGTAATTATAAGTGTGACAGTTTCATTTTTATATGCTTTGGTTCTTTATACAATGCTGGGACATTAGAAGTTATGCACAATTGCTGAGAACTGATTGAGCTGCCCATAAAGTACAGCATGCTGTGACAAGCACCCCAGGAGCCACAGTAAGTGGCAGCTACTTACGTATGGTATTTACGTTTCCGTGTAAGTGCTGGCCATAGCAATAAGGGCATTCTGTAGTAAGGCAAGCAAGAATTGGAAAGATTTTTCTCTCACTATTTTTTTTTTTAATCTTGTGATCTGAGTGTGTAATTTTCCTCACAGGCTTGCATTTAAAACTCTTGTTTGGGGAGTCCATGGCACTTCTGGATATAGAGCATGAAGAATTGGTCACTGGGGCCAGACTTTGGGGATTATAGCCCCACGACCCTTTCTTCCAGTCTCTATCTTGGATGTTTGATCCATTCAGGTGTGAGCAGGCAGCCACATGTTCCTGCTGCCACAGCTGCAGGCCACTCACACCATCATGATATCCACACTGTGACAGACTGCACCTTGCCTCATGTCCACACTGATAGATGGCACCCTTACCTCCTCATGTCCACACTGCGATGATGACACCATTACTTCACACCCACACTAATATAGATGGCACCCTATCTCATGTTCACACTGAGAGACGGCACCCTACCTCATGTCCACACTGTGACAGATGGCACCCTTACCTCCTCATGTCCACATGACGGCACCCTACTTCATGTCTACACTGTGACAGACGGCACCCTGCCTCATGGCCACACTGTTAGATGGCACCCTTCCTCATGTCCACACTAGGACAGACGGCGCCCTTACCTCGTGTCCACACTAATGTAGATGGCACCCTGCCTCATGCCTACTCTACGATAGAATGCACCCTTATATCATGAGCCAAGCTCCCTTAAGTTGCTTCTTACCTGGCATTTGTCATAATAGTTAAGAGTTAATACTGCACACAGTCTTAAATATAACAACAAAATGATTTTTAAAAACTTAAGACACAAAACCTAAGTCGCAAAATTATTCTCTGTAAATAACAAAACTGTAAGAGTTTTGCTGTTTTCTTTAGACTTTTCTACATTTTCCAGATTGGTACATGTGTGCATGTGTGTGCATGCCTGTTTTATCAGGGTCACCCTCCTCAATCCTTTGAAGTAAGACAAACTCACCTTCAGTTAACATAGAGCTACTGAAAGAGTGAGGCTGTTCTCACTGAGTACAGTTGGAGAGGAGGAAAAATGTTCCCTATTCTGTGTCAGTTTGGGAACATAATTTAAATATGTTTTATGATCTGAAATAAAATTGTGAAGCAGTAGTAAATAACTGGGACAGAACCCAGGGGAGAAAGGATTAATTGATTCTGGGCAAAGGTAGTAAAAAACCTTCACTGTCCGTACACAGTAGTTTAGATTGTTTCTGTTGTTTCTGTTCCCTCACATAGATCAGAGGAGAACATGTGGTATGGGACTAAAAAGAGAAGTGAACTCTAGGGTCAGTTCCTGGAGAAAGTACCCAAGGCCAGTTCCTAACAGCATCTCTGTGGAGGCATACAGATGCTGGAGGCCTTTCACAGCTTTTTTCCCCCTATTCTAAGTTTCCACCATGCTCCTGATCATAATGACTCAGGCCTGTGCTTTCTACCTAGTTCACAGAACTGTGTAACTTTTTGTCACCTTGATGTGTAGATATTCAACACCGTACCTGATGTGCCCCTCACCAACGCCCAGCTACACCTGTCCCGGAAGAAAAGCAGTGACTCCAAGCCCCCCTCCTGCAGCGAGAGGCCCCTGACGCTCTTCCATGCTGTGCCGTCCACAGAAAAACGTGAGTTTCTGCTGGCCGGAGCCAGGGTGGTATGTGGGCATCTCTGTTGCCTCCATGGCTTGCTACGGACATCATTAGCCTGGTTGTATGTTGCTGGCCTTTGGTGTCCTGAAGGCTCTGTTCTCCTTGTGTGCTGCCTGGTTCCATTGCTGAGCAGGAGATGCTCTTCTCTCTGTTGCTCAGCAGGAGCTTGGCTATGGTTTTGCCTAAGTCCCTCTTTTGTTGGCAGGTCTCATAGAAACAGTTCTTCACTGACTCAGTTTGGCATTATTATTGGAGGAAGCTACTTGTCCCACTAGAAAGTCCCTGTGGAAAGAGGGTCTGTGCTTACTCTTTCACTCTTCTATGTATTGATGCTTTAAAATACTTGGATGAATTACTGAACTAGAGAATAATTTCTCTCTATTCCAAGAAGAAGAGCAATATTACCACAGATGTAGCAGATCTTTTCATCTCAGGACTTCTGAGATCTTTGCAATAATTGGGCACAAGGCCCTAAAGTATGCAGTCATATTTCAGTTTTTGTGACAAGAAACTTACGTCCCAACAGTTGGGAGGCAGAGGCATCAGAGAAAGATTTCTGCAAGTCTGAAGCTAGACTGGTCTGTGTACAAAGGACCAGGCTAGCCAACGCTTCATAGGACAAGCCTGCCTCAAAAAAATAAGAAGTTAATCGTTGGAGTGAAGGCCTCATGATCTACTGGAGGTCAGCAGTATTGGGTCGTATTCCGCTTTACCACAGGAGAAAGCTTTTACCTCTTTCATCCTCATTTTTTTTCATCCTCATTTTGTTATTGTTAGGAGGCATAATAGTGCTCACCCCAGAGGGTAGACTTAAGGATTAACAAAATTATTCATTACAGCATCTGGCATAAGGCTGCTACAGATAGACACCCAGACCAGTTCCAGCATGCAGCTGACATTTTCATGGTGCCTTCACAGTCTAGGGATATGAAAATAAGGCCTGTCTGTAAGGAGCTCATTCTTGAGTGAGAGAATGAGTGCATTGCTTACAACAACTACTTTGATAGAGGAGTGTGCACTGGGGAGGCTGTACAATGTCCTGGCAGAAAGCTCCAGATGGCCCCAGTGGGGATTCTGCCTCTATGGATAACAATGATGGGCCTCTGTTTCCTGTTCTTGACAGTTTTGGATGGTGGTTTTCCAGAATCTCAGATCTCTACAGAGATCTGGGACTGAGCCTGAGTTCCTATAACAGGGGACTTGTGCAGTGTAGAAACTGAGGCCTTGAGCTCTGCTGGGCAGCCTACAGCTATTGTGAAAATTAAAATTTATTGGATATGCCAGTGACAGAGTCAGTCCTCAGAAGATACTTGGGTGATGACAAGGATGACCATGACTATGAAGATGACAAAGGCTGATCCCCAGCAGGACTCCAGTAAAGGCACAGAGAGGGTAGTGATCTACTTTACTTTAGGAAGGAAAGGATTCATATCTGCATTATATTGTTTTGGTTTTGTTTTTCTCTCAAGGTTTTATGTCCTTCTTTAGTGAAAAATAAAGGCCTCTTTCTTACCATAACTCATGAAATCAAACCTTCTCTGCCCTCAAAACCCTATTGCATTTAAAGGTGTTTTGATTTGCCATGGTAAGGCCATACCTTGGAAGCTAGCAGCATTTGGATTGCAGCAAATTCTTTGCTTTCATAAGGAAAGCTACTGTTACCGTTCTTATATTTAAATCTGTTCATGTCTACTCAGATCACTTCCTTCATATCAGTTCCTAGAAGAGTTCCTAGACCATGGGTATGCTAGACTCTGCCCTGGCATTGGCTTCTCTTCTAACAGTAGCCTGTGTTCTTCTTAAACATCTGGTGGAGGTCATTTTCTCCATAGTTGCTCAGAACTTGGGCTCCTCTGTGTGTACCAGAGAACACTTGGAACAGGACTGACCTCATCCCCATCTGCTGAGGGAATAAGGCATCAGGCTACAGGGTAATGCGCTTCTCAGGTTTCCAGGAGCACCCGGTCACCTAAGGTTTCCTGCTAAGCAGTGTGCAGTGCAGACGGGGACAGGGCAGACTGTGTCGGTCATTTCCCCAGGCTTCAGGTAGTGCTGCCTGTGGTAATCCTGAAGCAGCAGCAGCCTTGGTCCTGGTCCTGAAGCACACGTTAGAGCACTGAGGGGAGAAGAGGGAGATGAGGAGAAAATCCGTTAGCTCTTTGGCTGCGATTAGCGTTTCTCACAGGAGGCAGTGCCCGAAAGTTAAGGACATGTGGAAGAAGGCCCATCTAAGCTGCAGAACAGGCTGCTGTGTCCTGGGTGCACACGATGAAGCAATACAGCTTCCTCCCAGTGACAGGAAGCGGGGCTGCAGCCTCCATCTCTGTGGATTTTAGATGAGGATCTAGTTTTTGTAAGAGGGATTTCAGTAGAAAAGTCAGCATATGCGTGTATATATGTGTACCCATGTCTGTGTGTGCTTTGTTTAGATAGTGTATTTGAATATGAAACTATGTGTATTTTATAATAAAAATAAGTACAATTTGGGCACTTATTTTCTTCTGAGAAATAAGAATGCAGGCTGGTGTGGAAAGCACCCTAGCAGGGGCTAAGGAGGGGGTGGTGCAAGGAGGACCGGGCCAGGAGATGGGAAGTTCTGACTTAATCATGCCCCATGGTCACTGTCACCAGTAGGTGACATGTGAAGTTTTTGTACACCTCACCTCACTCTTCGTTCATTTTGTGGACAAAGGCAGAAATCTTTGTAAAAACAACCTTTGGAATGAAAGCACAGGTAAGGAGTGTACGGGCAATCCGTGAAAGCAAATTGCACATTTCCATAGAATAGCACCCTTCAAAAAAGGCCTCTCACAAACCTAGCTCAGTGTCTTATTTCAATCGCTTACACCAACCTCCTTTCACTCTTTGGGCTGTGACCACATTATTTTCATGTGTGCCAATTTAACACATTTTAAATTGGTCTTAAAGCAACTCACTTCTCTGCATGGCCTCAATTTTGGTTATGTCAAGTGTCTGAAAACATGAATTCTGATGTACTCATTACATTATTCTGTACCATATATTAAAATAAATGCCTAGCTACTAAGTTAAAGACATTCCTCCACATTTCATCTCAGATTTCCTTGTGGACCACCTGTGGAATGTGTCAACTCAACAGACCTGGTTCTCAATTTTGTCCTACTCCAGTCTTTCCTCCTAATGTGCTCACTTGGCTAAAATGGAGCTCAGATATTGACAGTGGACACTTACTGTTCATCTGACCATAAGGTGTTTGTTGTGAAACCTATCTAGATTTGAGGTGAACTTTAACTGTCCTGTCTGCCACAGAGCCTACGCTGTTTGAAGGCTTGTGCTATGTCATACAGTATGTGTATATACATACATACCTCCCCTTTGTTTTCACACTGGCCAAGTACTGCTCTTTGGGAGCTCATCTACTTTTCTGTCTGTCTGTTTGTCTGTCTGTGTGATCTCTTTTGAGTCCCATAACTATGCTCCTGTTTCTGCTCTGCAGTGCCTACAGTTTAATAGCATTGCATGCTGTCCACAGGTAAGACGCTTTGCAGAAAGGTTGAGGAACGTTCATCTGAGGTTCCTGTTGTTATTTCCGGTAGACCGCCACCCCTTGTCAAGGGCCCAGGTCTACATGAGTTGAGGCCCATTCTTTTTTCTTGGAGGTAAATCTGTGTCATGTTTATAGCCACGTGTTGTCATCGGCCTCCTTTTCTGAGAGTACAGACCTGACAGTCACCTAGAGAGTTCACAGGCCTGGTTCTGTCCTTGTGCGGTCACTTCACAGTACTAGATAGAGCTTATAGACATGCATCTCATTTTCTAGGAGGAGTGTTTTCCTCTGCATGGGAGGACCAGTTGCATACCAGCCACCCACACATGACTTCGAGTTTCCATTTTTGCAGTGAGTGAAGTCTTCTCCAACTTGCCTTTCCCTTCTTCCCAAAAGCTGCATCATTTATGATGCTAGTGACCTCTTTGCAGAATGAGGAGCCAGAAAGTTTCCTCTGCTCTGATCTAGGTTGGCCTGAAGGCTTAGGCAATATGTAGCGGAAGCAGAGCTAGGTATGGCATGGAAATAGGCCCTGAGATGAACATTCTGGAGAAGAGCTAAGGGAGTGATGAAACTTAGAAGCCATTGTAGCAATGCGTGCAGATCATCAGAAAACCACTGAATGTTGTAGTGAGGAGGGGAAGGACTAGCTAGCAGAGCTGTCTGTAGTTGGTCAAGGAGTGTTTTCTGAAAGGGGAAATTTTGAGAAAGATACTGAAGGAAATGAGGGTTCTAATCTGGGCAAAGGCTACAAAGGCTGTCTTTGATACAGAATAGTCTGCACAGGGCTATAAGTCCTACTGGGAGCCGTGGAAACATGGTTTCTCTGTGTTGAGCTTAATAGACACTTATTTATCTATTAAAACCTACTTTCCTTTATCTATGTCTACTGTATAGTAATATATAGTTTTTAGGGTTGTTTTCTTTCCCATGCTATTTGTTTTCTTTCCTATGCTAGGCTCTGTGCATAATATCATAATTATGTGACCCAGGTAATGTCCCTATTTTCCAGCTGAAAGGAAATAAAATTTATACTCAATGATGCACTCAGGGTCATGGAGAAAAAAAAAAAAGGTAGGAAAATTGTACCCAGTCACTGTCCCTCAAAGCTACACTATTAATGACTCATGACCCAGATGTCTAGTTTCAATGTGTGGAATAGATCCTAGGAGGGAGACATGATTTGGTTAAGGATAACTGTTGTGGGCTACTCTGGAAGACCAAGTATCTGCAGTTCTTTTTGTGAACCTGCAAGTTAAATTGCATTAGGCTGGGGATCCAGTATAGAAGAATAAATGGATACATTTAATAAAGAACTCCTTGAGACCAAACTCCATTTGAGCCTCACTCAGTAACAGTAATAAAAGCAATTATAGCTCAAGTAATGTGCCAGCCATCATGCTAAGCTCGTCATTATTTCTGCTCATTCCCCTAATTGGTAATCCTATGA